TTGGCTTTTGCAACTAGTGAAAATTGAAATTTATTTGTATTTTGTGAATTAATATAATCTGGGATTTCAAAGTAACACATAGTTTATATGAGGTGTTCATTTGTTTATATCAATCAAATGGATGGCTTTTGGAAGTTGTCATTACTCTTGTAGCTGACTTCGGTCACCATAGAGTAGAGGAACATGAAAAGGATAAAAGATGAGAGTGGGAAGAGAAGGGAAGAGAAGAGAAGAGAAGAGTAGTTCACAGATGTAAAAGGCACCGCCTAACCCACAGGCAGAGAACAGTTAAGTTGAGTACTGTGGAAGTGGGCAAATAAGCTATACAGTCGGGTCATGAGAGCTTGAAGTGAAGAGTCAACCGCCGGTTTATAGACTAATTTTGCCCTTGAATTACACGTGTTCCAGGGTGCCCAAGTGGAGGTAGGTTAATCGAACACCCTATGTTACGCATTATTAGACAGCTTATATTGGAAAGAGAAGTAATGAAAATAGGTGAGGGATGCAAGGAAAATTAATTCAGGTGAATAAACTTGTATCTAACGCTATTGCCCCATCTACAATTTGACCGCTTCCATTACTACTTATGCTATTCCAAATCTGTAGCACTGCTAATAAAATGCAACAAGAGGACTAGTTGAGAAGAGTTGGAGAGTTGAGTGGGTGGTAATATTGTCGTTTTGACGAAAATAACGACTAATGCCAAACTTGCGGCTATTGTGAATTAGTTTGGATTAGCTAGAGAAATATCCAATACAAGTACTCACATTAATTAATCTTCCGACGAGACAGTGAAGATATGGTTATAAGCGTTTGCAACATTTCTTACTTATAGTTGAAAATAATGGAAGACTTTGGTCAAGTCCTGTATAGTGTAGCTATTGCTATTAAGGTATACGATACTCATCCGAACTGACTTCTAAGACTTAGACTTGACAGCACCGAACCATCGAACTGATAAGAAAATGCTATGAGATACAAACTATTTAATTATTTACAGTAAATGACAGGCGGTTTGATAGTGATCTTTAGCCGTTTAGTTGACTTCGGGCTTGACAGAGGGGAGGAGGCACATTAAGGTGAGAAGAATTGGGGATGGGGAATAGAAGAGTGATTCACAGATGCAAAAGAAGCAGAGAGACACAAAGGCTCAGAAAGGGTAAGATAAGTACTGTGGTAGGGGTCGAGTATGACATACAGTGGGGGTGATGGTATTTTGAAGTGAGAAGTCAATTGCCTGTTAATGGACTTTTTTGTCGTATGATTAAACGTTGGCCAGGGTGCACCACGAGGAGGTAAGTCTATCGCAATAGCCTATGTTACATGGATTGATAAACATTTGCAATGAAGAATAACATTGAAATGGGTATTCGTTTTAGCGGGAATTGAAAGAGCACTCTGCTTGTAAGTAATTGGTAAATGTGTGAAGAAATTTGAGTTTTATTTAAATGTTTGGTGTAATTTATAAAGACGAGGTTGATTGAGGTGAAGAGAGAAGTCGAATCAGCTGAACTTTGACCGACCAATGACATCACGTCGCTCAACTGACCAATCAAAGCGCATGCTCGAATAAGTTTATTTTGGCAGTGAGTGATCTAGGGACATGACGTGATCATCTTGGCTTTAACGAAGCAATGCTAACTTCTTCGTCATGGAGAGAGAGAGAGAGAGAGAGAGAGTGAGGAATTGTCATTTCAATTGTAGCTTTCTTGACAAACTTTAGATACATATATGAACGGAGTACTTAGAAGTTGACACGAGAGCTCCGAACAATTATACTGCATAGAGAAAGTCAAGTGGGACAAAATATTGGAATTTGTTTTCACATTAACGTATGTTTCATGAATTTACAAACATTCGCAATGAGGAATAGAATTGAAAAGGTGTATTCACTTTGACGGAAGTTGAAAGAACACTCCACTTGAAAGTGAGTGGTTAATGTGTAAAGAAATTCGAATTTTATCTAAATGACTAGTGAAATTTATAACCATGGGGTTGGCTGAGGTGAAGAAAAAAGTCCAACTAGCTGATCTGCCGTTTTGACTTGTCCAATGAGGCTGACTTCAGTCAATTGAAATTAAATGGGCAAAAGAACAGGGATCACTTCTTCAGTTTCATTCGTAATTACTTGTGCTAACTCCTGTGATGTGCCCCATTTGCGAGTGTGCGTTAGCTGTTATATAATGAAGGAGGCTAAATGAACCTGCTAAATGAAACTACTTGTTACTTCAACTCTGATCCACAGCTTTGCTTAAAATATTTGAAAATTGTCTCATTGTCTATTTTGTTTTGATGCACCGAAGGTGCCGGTGATTTGCACCAGGTGTGATCTCACTAGCCAATTGAACTCGGTATACATGAATTGGGCTGTTTTATAGCATTGCACAATTCAATGAGCACTCCTTCCTATAGATATCTACTTTAATAATTTTAGATAGTGTAGGCGAATTGCTGTCTAACCAAAACTCGTTGTTGCCTTCACCTCAATCGGATTCAAAGTGGTGCATAATTTATTTCCCTCCATTATCTGATCAATCACAAAATGCAATAAATTATAGTAGCGTGTTGTAATAAAGGTCAATAATGTTTGCTTAAGCGTTTGGAGCCAAATTGGTGATAAAAGTACGTGCGCGCAACACAAGATAATAAAACTAGTGGCTCGACCTGAAAGTACAAGTAAAATTAACACCCCATTCTTCTCTTCATGCAGTCCCAAGCAGTGAGATGCAAGGAAACCTGAGCTGTTGCATATAAACCCTTGGTGCAGCTGTAAAGCATCACAATTCACCCACGCCTGCTCGCAGATCACACTACTACCAAACGCTCGTGCAATGTTTCGACCAATAGATACGAATCCCATTCCTTTTAATCGCCTATTCACCAAGGTGAGCAAGTTATCGCCTCTCAATCAATTACTTAAATGCTTACCTACCTACTTACTTACTTGCTTACTTACTTACTTCATTCCTTCATTCCTTCATTCCTTCATTCATTCATTCATTCATTCCTTCATTCATTCATTCCTTCATTCATTCATTCATTCATTAATAATTAATATGTCAACTAATACATTAATTAAGTAATGCGATTTGCAGAGTGCCAACAACATTCTGCTGACACCGAGGCAGAGATGTGAGGCCAAAGAATTGTTGCTGAAGAGTAAGAGCGCACAACTTCCGGACGACACAGATTTGAACGTAAGTGCTCATTTTGGCTTCGGTGACATCTTTTGCACAGGATCTGTGGAATGTTTTGGAAAAGAAGAAGGATGCTTCAGTGGATACAGAGAAGTGGTTCATCACCTACCCCAAGTTCCTCGAGGCTAAGCAAGAAGTTTGCCCCAAAGTCAGGTACGCTTCTTCTATTTCCCACCTTCTCCTTATTTTATCTGCACCTCCTCTCCTTCCCGCCCCTTTCCTCAAACACTCAATCCCCTTCCTCCGTCTCCTTCGCCTTCACCCCTTAACCTCCCCATCCTCCCCTCCCCCCCTCCTCCCCACATCTCCAGCCCTTTCCGCCTACATTGCCTTCTCCTCCACTAGCCCTCTCTCCTTCTTACAGCCACTTCTTCACTGCACCCATCTTTGCCAAACTCTCTCACGCCGAACGCATGTCTCGTGTCAATATTCACGATTTCTTCAACTTCGTCAAGAAAACCGTGTGCC